AGGTGTCCCCCATCTTAGACTTGCTTATGCAAGTCCCAAACTAGGGAGCCTAGTAACCAAAAGGTAACAGTTTGATGGTATTGATATGGTCACACTTGCCATGTCTTCTCTTTTGACCCAGATACATCTCGTGCACAAATTCCCATGCAATGAATGGTGTTTGTACAAGTCTACATATTTTCCTTTTCATTTCAGTTGTCCTTACTCAGTAGAAAGTTTTGGTAAATTTTGCTCAACATGAGTTACTTTTTGATAATGTGTGAGTAGCAGCTGACATCCACAAGGCACCTTTATTAGTGGGGCTGTCTGGATTATTCTGACTCCAGCAATTTAACTCACTCATCTTGTTCTGATGTCTGCTTGCTTCAGTGACAGCTTGCATGCATTATTCTGTATTATGGCAAGTTTGTTTATACTGTTTAAAGCTGAACATATACTGTGTGAAGATTGTTTTCCTTGACTTAGATCCAACTGTGCAAAAAACATTCAAAACTATCATGGGTCTAATCTTGCAGAAATGAAACTAATATACTATTAAGCCCTTAGTTTAAATATCAAACAGCCTTCAGGGATATAATAAATAATTGCATATTTTTGTCAGTCAAATCTGTTTCACCACGAAATAGAGTAAACATTGTTTTTCTTGAATTCTGAAATATCTGCTGACAAGTTCATGGTATTGATCTTCTCTATTTCTTTTTGAGTTATCCTGTGGTTTATTACTGAGCATTGCCTTTGTCCGGGTTTTCTGGCTCCCTATCTTGCAATGTTTAATTCAACTAAATTGCAGGGTGTTTGTCGTTTATCCACTCCTGTTCACGCTCCCCCTATTTATTCACAGTTACTTTGCTCTACATTTACACAAGCAGTTTTTTGAGGATAACTGGGCTGCCCTGTGCGTGTTTGTTTTCCATCCTTTTCACATATGAAGATTTAATGTGGTAAAGTCATCACAATATGACTTTTACCTCGCATGTCTCACATGGTGAATATTTCTTGTCAATGTTCTCCCTGTAGTGACACCTAGTATTTGCCATATTTAGCAACGTGTTAGTTCTCAGGCTTTTACTCATACATGATAAATACTAGCTGTCATCTTGTAAGACCACATTCACAAGATATATTCTCTTCATGAACAGAACATTTAAAATTCTCTTGTGATGACTTTGCTACATAAAAAGCAATGCATGAATCAGCCGTTGGATTTCTCTCTCTCTTAAAAACAGCCTGTGAGCATTGACAAGTTGCAAAAAAAAAAAAAAAGACTACAATAGTATATTCCTTTCAAATTTGTGGGATTTGTGGAATGGGCAAGTAAGAGGGGAAAATATTATTGAACAGATAGGTCACTGGGAAACCGCAGCACTGAAATTTTGAAATGGACAAAGAAGGTACAAGGATACAGATAGATTGACCAGAACAGAACAAAGTCGTGGCAATTGTCTAGGGACAAGTTTCTCCATGCAGTGGGGTGGATCTAGAGTTAAGCTCAGCAGAGCTTTGCTTCTACTGGAAGAAGGGGTGTGATCTTCATGGATTCCTTTGCCTCCTGAAAAGTTGCTCCAATGGTTGGGAGGAACTCCATAGCAGCATGAGTTGTGTGTGTGTGTGTGTGTGTGTGTGTGTGTAGGGGAAATGCTAAGTTGATGCAGACCATCTTCACACTTCCTTAAGCAGGTAGTCTCTGCTGGATCTCTGTTCCTTGTCTGAACATAAGGAGCCTTCCCATTTGAAGAGTAGCTAATCTGGACCTACTGCTCAGGGATTATAATAAGTGTTAAACTCATGCACTGAACTGTATTCACTACAACACTTACGGAAAAGTGTCCTTACCCCCAAAGACACACTCTTCTTCCATTGTCTCTTGAGACAGACTGATGCCAGCAACATGTGGGGGGGGGTTTAATGTTTTCTAAAGAAAGTGGATACGATCATGGAATTCATGTATATACTGCATTGCTTCAAGTGTTGAAAAGTAGAAAAAGGGCTCGCCAGAGAGTAAAACTCAATTGTATTACATGAATCATTAGCTTAATTGTTTTTTCTATTTTACATTTCCTCAGAAAAAGGCAATAATTAGGTACTCTACTAAGATTCTGCGGTATAAATGTGAAGATTAACCATGACCTGTGTTTTTGTTTTTGTCGGAAAGTACAATTTCATAACTCCCAAGAAAAGCTTTGGGGAAATTATTCTGTCTCCCCACTTCCCATTGTGTCATTTCCACTTACCAAAAGCAATGTGGATTATGATCCTGGCATGACACTTGTCTGCATGTGAATGGATGCAAGTCAGATATTAGTCATGGTGTGGAACAGGGGGAAACAATGTGCTGCTCAGCAGATGGTGTTGGACTGCAGTTTACATAATTCTTGACCATTAAGCGGTGCTGACTAGAGCTGATGGGAGTGGGCATCCAACATCTGGGAAGCTTCCACATTGAGCACATCTGGTCTGTACAGCAAGGAGTGGGGAAACACTGACCAGCACATTTCCCCCATTGCTTATGTGAGATGTAGCTTTTGAGACTTCGTTTTTATCAAAGATTCTAAAATCTTGCTGAGAAGACCTCTTTCTGTCTTCTAGAACTTATTACTTATTCCAAGAATGGATGCCTCGCCAACTTTCTTTATAGCAGTCTAAACATAATCTTTGAGTGGCAAAAGCATAATATGTGAGAGAGCCATCAAGATCCCAAGCATCCGTGTTGCTTCTGTAGCTGTGATGCTGATTGTAGTGTTTTAATATTTTGGCACCGAGGCCAGCTGAACTGATTGGAACTGGAGGCAGCCATATTAAATATCATTCCATTGTCTCACAATGGATGCTGTTGACTTCTTGAAGTCAGAAGAGAACATGCAAGACAGTAGCAGGCACAGGGGGTAGTGTGGCAAGACCGCTATTCACCAACAGTTTTTCTCCAGTTTTTTTCACACAATTCTGCACATAACTGACCTCTGCTTTAGGGAAGATCTAACTATAACATTGTATTGTGTTGTAAACCATGGGTGCCACAAGTCACAGCAGGAGAGTCTATGGGCCTTCCTTTGATGTTTACTCAGGCATGCACATTGTATGGGTTTGCCTCTATAGACTGTGGGCCTATAGCCACTTACATGGGTGTAAGCCATTTAAACTCTGGGGGCCTTTGTAGAGAACTGTGCTTTGAAGAAGAAAGGGCTGCATGCATAGCAGGGATGTCCAACAGGTCAATCGCGATCTACTGGTCAATCCCCAGGAGGTTTTGGTGGATCGCGGTCAATTGCTGGCTCCTCCATCAGCCCCCGCCCCCTCACCCCACCCTCTAGATCGCTAGAATGGAAGAAGGAGCTCTCACTGCTAGGCTGACTGTTTCATTAGTGATCTCTTGGTGAGATACTTTTTCATTTATTCCTTTCCCATGCTCTCCCCCCCCCCAATGGGATTCAGGTGTATTGTATGGCTCAACAACTTTTACCTGAACCCCTGAAAAAACAGCTTTCCTTCTTAAAAAAAGCTCAACAAATTTGACCTGAACCCCCCTCAATAGGGGTAGATCACTGCCAGTTTTTAATTATGTGAGTAGATTGCAGTCTCTTGGAAGTTGGCTGTCCCTGTACTATAGCAAGCACTCAAGTGGTACAACTTCATAACTTCGGATTTGCTTTGTGGTGCACTCTTTTCAAGACTGATCCCTATTGGTGTAGATTTTTAGGGAGCAGAGTATGCTATTGTTGCATTTGGCAGTCAACCACATTAATGGTTTGAATATTGGCCTTGTTTACACAGTAACCATGGTTTAAAGGTAAGCATGTGGCATGCTGGGAGAAAAATCACCATTGCCACTATTAAGAGCTAATCCATGGTTTGGCTCAGTGTTAAATCTGATCATGGGCTTAAGGTTTGACTCCCTCAAACAAACCATGAGTACTACACCAAGAACAAACCTTGGTTACGGCTCATGGATTGTTTGGAGAGAGAGAGAGAAATCATGAACCTGGGTTCAGACACAACTCTAAGCCAAACTCTAAGCACAAAGTGGACAAGCTTTGACCCTGAGCATTCCACATGTTCTTCTTTAAACCATGGTTATTCTTAACTGAGGCTTCAAGTGACATGGGAACTGAGCCGCTGATTGCATATAGCCCTGCTTTGGGGTGAATAGCAGCAGTGTTTGAGGTGCATTAGCTTATAGGCTGACAAATTCTATATGCTCTGTGAGGCACTTTAAAAAACTTTGGCTGACAGGAACAGCCTACAGAAGCAATGAAGGCTGCAACCCACACCCACTAGATGAAGAAATGGCTGTTTCATTTTGGTGATTCATACAGGAAGACAGCTGAAATGTTTTATGCTGAACGCAGCTTCAGCATCTACATTGTGTAAGAAGTATGAACAGCTTTAATATACTTACTGCATTTTGAAAATAGAAATACTGGCCTGGAGCAGTCATGGATGGGCTTCAGGAATACTAATTGTTTGTGTACACGAATAAGCTTATAAATGGTTATTTCTGAGGGCTTATTTTGCTCATCAGTGCCAGTATAAGAAAGGGTGGGTGAATTATTATATTACCTACACAGCCTGCTAATGTGTTCAGGGTTTGATGGAAAGTGCCTTTAACTTGCCATGAACTCCTTTCCTACTGAGCCACCTCTACATTTAAAGTAGGCAAAGAGCCATTACACTAATCCACTGTGCCATCATATCTCTGGAAAACACATGTAAGCAATTGCATTGAATATTCATATTTGATGCAAGATGTATTAAAATCTGTGTATTTGGCACCATATACAGCTACAGTTTTGGATTGGTGGCACTTTCAGCTTTGTTATTTTTAATTGTGCAAATTTGTTATTTCAGTAAAGCCATCTATGCTGCTCATATTGGGATTTGGAGGGAGGGGAGGGCAGAGGGAGACAGAGAGACCTAACAGATTTGGACCTTTTCACTTTGTAATCCATGTAAAATGGCAGAAAACATAATGACCAGTCATTTCATTTGTTTTGTTTTCCAATCAGATCCGATTGTATGCAAGACCTGATGCCATCAGAAGAGGATCTGGGGATTATGCTCTAAACATTACTCGGAGACTAGTTGAGTTTTATGAAGACTACTTCAAAGTGCCCTATTCCCTGCCAAAATTAGGTAAGCTTGTCGAGAGGAACTGAAAGATCAGAGTATGGAAGGCTAAAAATAATGGTTTAGATCCTAATATAAGTTAACTGAAGGAAATAAATTTTCCCCATTCCCCACCATAGCCACACCTCTGGCGGGTCAAGAGTCAGGTCTGAACAATGTGGGATGGGATATGCGAGGTTAATTGCCTAAAATTGGGTGGACCTTGGCCTGATTTTGTAGGGTTCTCCCCTTTACACTCTCCCATATTTCTTCTCTCCTCCAGAGAGTTTTTCTGGGGGCAGAGTTGGATGTAGGAGGGAAGACAGCAAACTTTGCTTTTGTGAACTTCCTTGAGTTTACTTACCTTACTATCCAAGCCAGTGAGTAGTACATTCATTTTCTAAAAAGTTGAATGAGCTGGGTGGTCTACCTGTAGTCTTGTCTTAAACAACAATCAAATGGTATGGACCAATCAGGAACATTACACTTAGTTGTTCAGAGAAAGAAAGCATGTATATATGTTTGTTCACATGCTCAGAATAATGGGTCTCCCTTCCATTTGAGCTATGTTTCGTTGGCGCCTCTTCTATATAACTCCCCCCTCCTTAATCATGATAAATACTTTCCTGTAACTCTGCTTATTGAAGTGAATGACTCTAACCTTACTTTGCATATACCTAAAAGTATATGCTCTCTTCCTTTGTTCTGTTAGTACTCTACTCTCGTACGCTGGAATATTTCAAACTGTGTTATTATATGTACCCTCTTTAGAAACACATGGGACTGAGATCCAGAAAACACATTACTCAGCAGCTCTCTTTTTGATCGCAAGTGTTTTCTGATTTCCAACCACAGGTGTTCCTCCCTGGAATTCAGGTGCTTCTTCATTAAAGCACTAGCCTGCTGAGTAGCATCATTCTTAGCCTTGCAACTAATGGTGTGGCAGGAGATACATTAATTTATACTGTTCCAAGTGGGCACTTTATGCATTTTTAATAAGTCTGAAATTGTATTTCTTTCCCCCCTCTCTTAATTGTTTTGTTGCATGTAGTACTCCATTAAAGTCAAAGTAGCTACCATGAGATTGGACTAACTCCAGCTTACTGCTTTGCCTTTTCATGCCTGTCTGCAATTTGTCCTGCATAAGTGTTTGTCATGAAAATATGATGCAAGCCGTTGACCTATGGGGTGGCGGAGTCTTTGCAAAATAAGCTTTTGATCTCAAGAAGGTAAAAGGAAAACACAGTATCTTTCTTAATGGGCAGAAAGAAAAGAGTTGTCCACTTAAGTAGTCTGAACATGGTAGTAGATAAAGAGTGGGTAATCTTGAAAATGTAATTTTCTATATATCTTTCAGTAAAGTGTGGACTCTCATTTCAATGTATTTTCTATACATGATGGATAGTACACAAGCTAACTTACAGACCACATTATATTTAATAGATGGTGCTGTTGGTAGCTGGTTTGTCTAGTCAGGGAAGTGTTATTTTCTCCCATTCTGGTTGCAGTTTTATTCTTTCTAATGGATCAGCTTGGCAGTTAGCTCTGGCCCTAATTTTTTGTGTGTTGAGGTGGCATCTGTAGCTGAAAACACCTTTTACTGTTTCTTATATGAGTCTGGTGCACCAGCTCCTACTTCTCTCTAGTCACAGTTATTTGTGCCCAGATAATATCTAGGTTAGAGTACTGCTGCCTTTGCCAATCTGGTATTGTCCAGATGTTTGGACTACAACTTCCATCAAACCCTACCAAGACAGCTGTGCCAGATGGGGCTGATGAGAGTAGTAATCCAAAACACCTAGAGGGCACCATACCTTGGAAACTACAGCTGGTTCAGGAAACCTGGAGCTAGATGATTAACTAAGGCTGGTCAATCAGAAGACACATCCTTAGTTCAAAAATAAAAATCACTGGATTCCTTTTTGTTTCTGGGTACAATTTAAAGTTCTGGATTTAACTTTTGAACCCCTATATGACCCTTAGAGCTGGATATCTGAAGACCATCTCCAGGATTGTGTAGAGCAGGCATGGCCAAACGTGGCCCTCCAGATGTTTTGGGACTACAGTTCCCATCATCCCTGACCACTGGTCCTGTTAGCTAGGCATGATGGGAGTTGTAGTCCCAAAACATCTGGAGGACCAAGTTTGGCCATGCCTGATGTAGAGGGATGGGAATTCAACAAATCTGAAGATAGCAATAATGATTGTTTGTGGGAGTAGCTTGACAGACTGACATCTTTCAGTGATAGTTATGCGCAGTCAACACTTCTTGCTGTAATACTCCTGTTTTGCTGAATAAATAACATGAGAAGTAGCAATGGGGTTTGTACCCACACTTTTATTTCCACATTTATTTCAGTAAAGTACTTTACTTTTGTACTGCTGGCACAGTAATTACAGTGAAGATAAAACTACTGCTGTTTCTGTCTGGTTTGTGCCTGGGCGAAGAAAAACAGAGGCCTTCCCATTTTTCCACGTAGAAAATGCTGCCTTTGAAATGGATATTTAACCACTCCTGATTCTAAACCATCCACAGTTTCTTTGCAAGACTCTCTGTAAAGCATTCCTGGATCCTCTGGCAATAAGTTGATAATAAGCCACTGTTTATTAAGAAATAAGTGGAGAAAGAAGTACTGTTAATTAAGCCCAAATATATCAGTAGTTATATAACAGCGATGGGGAACCTGTGTTCCTGCAGATGCTGTTTGACTCCCAACTCCCATTAGCCCCAGCCAGCATGGTCCAGTGGTAAGGAATTATAGCTGTCATCCACCAATATCTGGAGAGACAGGTTCCCTACCTCTGGTAAAGCAGTACACTAATAGTAATGTACAGATTTTGTACTCATATGGGGAAAAACCCCACTACTGCTGCTACTACTATTTTTCCTCCTCCTCCTCCTCCTCCTCCTCCTCCTCCTCCTCCTTTTCCTCTTCCTCTTCCTCTTCCTCTACTATATTTCCAGAACCCCTTGAAAGTTGGTATGTCCTAGTGACCAGAGTAGAGTGGTACCTCGGGTTACATACGCTTCAGGTTACATACGCTTCAGGTTACAGACTCCGCAAACCCAGAAATAGTGCTTCAGGTTAATAACTTTGCCTCAGGATAAGAACAGAAATTGGGCTCCGGCGGCGCGGCGGCAGCAGGAGGCCCCATTAGTTAAATTGGTGCTTCAGGTTAAGAACAGTTTCAGGTTAAGAACGGACCTCCGGAACGAATTAAGTACGTAACCAGAGGTACCACTGTACTTTAGTCCTGTTAACTTGCTATGAATAACTACCACCAGTATTTATTTGTGTTTGATATATTTGTTCTGGTTATTTCAGGTTGTTGCAGAGCATCTTGGGATATTTCTACCTGTCATTGTGCACTTACTTTAAATTCTCTCACCTTGCAAACACTGCACTTGTCAACAGATCCTTTGCGTGTTCTTGGTCTTTTTTGTAGTCCTTGGAGGAATGCAGCTGTAACTTAAAAGTTTACATAGTTTGTTTGTTTGTTTGTTTGTTTGCTTCCATAAACTGGACATGTTTAAAGTAACTGCACATGAGATTTATGTGGCAGTTCACACACCTGCTGTCAGTCATTGTAAGTGTGTAAATTGTGTTCTCCACTTGTCCAACGGACACTTATATTTGTCAATCAAAACCATATATGAGAATTCACTAAAATTAATAGCAGACAAATAAAACTCTGGAATTATCCAGTGTGAGGTGTGCTTTGCATTTTAATAAAAAACCATTGTTGTTCTAGATGCAGGGTTAAGATAAACAATCTAAAATGGCAACTAGTTATTTCTGTAAATATTTATGTGGAAGAAATTGCCATGAGCTTTACTGAGATAGTGTTTGCTTGTAATGATAAGCCAGACTTTCTGGCTTATCGTGATTTATTGTGAAAGAGCAGCATGGTGTTGGATGCTGCTAGGTCACTCCTACTTCACTCTTCCCCTAGTGCGAATGGGATAAACAATCAGCACATCAGCAATTAATCACGGCTTAAGGTTGTCTCTTGATTGTGGTTTGTTAAGAAGCAGCAACAAACTGTTCTGAAGTACAGACACATAGAGAAGCCAGACTTCCTGATCTGTTTACTCTGCTTGTGCCTGGGGCTGTGTGAGTGCAACCAGTGTGTTCAAACATACTGTGTGTGCCTGTTTTAGTGGTGCATAAATAATGTTTCAAAATAAATAAATAATGTTCTGTTAATTGAATCATGCATACTGAAATTATCCATGGATGAAATATATCCATGTGATATGTATTGAAATTCATGAAATCTCGACCCAGAAATGATTTAGGTGAGGTAAAAAAATAAAGCAGATAGATAGTTCGTCCATTTCACTTAAGAGAAATAGGTAATTGGGGAATATTAAGCTCTTTTTGAGATTCATACATACATTTTCTCAAGATTACTGTATAATGATAGAAGGAACTGACTTTAACCCCCCCCCAGCTTATTTGGTGTTCTTAAACTAGGACTTAGTAGATGGGGGGGCGGGAAAATGAATGAAACTTACGTGAAAATGAATGAAAACATGCAGTAAATATGTTTCTCAAATTATTATACTGAAGTTAAGTGCAGACTACAGATTTTCTAATGTAGTGACATAAGAGACTGAAGCTATGAATCAGGCACTCCATTGTTTATGAGTTGTTTTTGTCATTAACTCACTTTTAATAGCCTCTTCTTAAATGAATGAATGAATGAATGAATGAATGAATGTTTTCTTCCCCCATGGTACACACCACTGCACATGCTCCCTCAGAAGCCTTCCTTGGTCCCTGCCAGGTCCTGTCCTCTTCTCCCCAAATGGAACTTAGGCTTGAAGGAAGCCTTTTGTACATGCGTACACATGTTTGCATGGCTGTGCATGTGCAACTGTGGAGCAGGCAAATGTGCCCATGGGTCCAAAAAGTTGGCAAACTCTATCCTACTATATTCAGACTTCTTCCCCCCCCCTCGAGCTCTGCAAATCTTTGTTGAGCACATTATGTGAAAGTAAGAATTATGAGCCAGTGACAAGA